CTCAAAATAGGTCTTACCTTCGACGATCACCTCTTCATTTGAGCCAAATTCTTTTCCTTGAAGCTTCTTTTTGATGTCTACCCTAAATTGATCAAATGATGCCATATAATATTCCCTATTGACAGTTTTATCTTTCTCAAGATAGTTGATAAATAAAATACCATGTGCATCCCAAAATATGGATGCTATAAACCTTGCTAGCTGATTTTTTGATCGCTTTGGACGACTTTTATTGACTGCTGTCCACTCAGCTGACAATCGTTTTTATTCGGGTATGTAGTAGTAGATCCAAGTTTCATCCATTATCACATACTGATGCAAGAAATCTTTTTTATCTTGCTTGAACAGCTCCAAACGGCACTCTGAATCATCAAAGGGTTGTTTTTGGCCTGGTGTGAGCAGTGCCCACTTCGAAAGCAACTTATGAATGTTCAAATATTCGTGTAAAATTGTAAACACACTACCTTCTGATATCTTAAAGGTATCAGCTACCTCATGCAACTTCCCTTTACGGTCTTTTATAACTATTTTGTGGACTTATTTATGTTTTCTGGAACAACTACTAATTTTAGGCATCCAGTGCATTCAGCATCATTGATGTTTGTACAACCGCATTTAAATTCAGCATACCAATAACAGTTCATTTTCCTGGCACAGTCTCCACACTGCTTATTAAGCCACTGTTTTTTTTCAACAGTATTTTCCCCCATTAAAAAAACAATGTTTAATCAACACACAAAAATCTTTTTTATCCATTGTTTGAAAATTATGAAACTAGGGTCACTAAAACCACTGTAACCTGTAAATTAATTATCAGAATGTCATGAAATTTTGACATGTATCATTTGAAGGATGTCACTCTCCAGAAATCTTACGGGTCTGTCAACAGTGTTGCCATACATGTGTCAGACTACAGACTTTTCGAGTGATCTTTTGCTAAAAATTTTGGAAATTATTTAAAATTAAGTTTTATAGACTCATTTATGGCTAGAAACATAGATGATTTATCACAATTTTTAAGAAAATTACCAGACAGCACAAAAGAAAAATTAGCATAAAATGAATATTTGAAATCTGTGTTTAAAGAAACTGCAAAACTATTTTCCTGATAATACTGTATTCGATTTAATAATGAGAAAAGGTGTTTATCCTTATGACTATATGGATTTTGAAGAAAATATAAAGAAAATAAATTACCAACCCCAAAAGATTTTTATTGTTAAAAAATAAATACATTGATTAATACACTGAAAGAATGTGTTTTCACTAAATGAAAATGAAACCTTTCATATAAGTGATGATGATTATAATCATGCACAAATGTATGGAAAGCTTTTAAGATAAAAAATTTAGGAGAGTACTCAGAATTATATGTTAAAGCAGATGTCAGCAGTAATTTTTGAAAATTTTAGAGATGTTTGCTTAAAAATGTATAAATTAGCTCCTGCTTGGTATTTTACAACTCTTGGTTCATTTTGGGATGCAATGTTAAAAAAGACTGAAATTAAATTAGATTTGATAATTGATATCAATATTGTTTTAATGATAAAAAAAGGAAGAGATGGAGTATCATAATGCTGTAATAGATATGCAAAAGCAAATATTAAATATGTAAAAGAGTGTGATAATAATAAGGAATCTAATTATTTAATGTGTGTAGATGTTAATAATTTATATGGTTAGGCTATTGAGTCAATATTTACCTTATGGTGGATTTAGACAGGTAGAAGAAAATAAATATTCCCTATGTTATTAGAAAATTTGGATAAATATCCACAAAAATTTTACATAAAGATGTTGATTTACAATATTCAAAAGAATTACACAATTGTCAGAAAGATTTGCCTTTAGCACCAGAAAAGAAAATGTCTGATGGTTCTAAACAAGAAAAGTTACTAACAATGTTGTATGATAAAATTCATTATATCATTCATTATAAAAGCTTGAAACAATATTTAGAAATGGTATTAAAAATGTATACAGAATGTAGAATTGAGACAAGCAGATTGGTTAAAAAAAATTTAAATACTCAAATGTGGAACAAAGCTACTAATGATTTTGAGAAAGAATTTTATGAATTAATGAATCTGGCTACATATGGAAAAACTATTGAAAATGTTAAAGAGAAAATTCATATAAGATTATGCACTACTTATGATCAGGTTAACAAATTGATCGCTAAACCAAATTTTAATGGCAGAACAATACTTGGAGAAAATATAGTAGCTGTTTAAATGAATTAAAAACAGATATAATAATAAATAAACCAATTTACACAGAAATGTACATTTTAGATTTATCACAATATTTAATGTATGATTTTCATTATAATGTGATAAAATCTAATTATAAAGACATCACATTCTTTATATGGATACATAATAGTTTAACATAGGAAACAGATAAATTTTAAAAATAAAAAAAAAGAAAATTTTTAAAATATAGGTAAAAAAAGATGAAACTAAAAAAATTTTTCTCGAATTTTGCAGAATTAAAATAAAAAATTTATACTAATATAACTGAATAGAATATAATTAAGAAATCAAAAGGATATTAATTTAGAAGTCAAACAACAAAAATCAGCATTATATTTGCAAATTTTCACAGGACTAGTTTCGATGGTTTTATTAGCCGTCATCCTCAGCTGCCAAAGAGGCAAAACATCTCCAGCTGAGGATGATGTTTTGGTAAAACCATTGAAACTAGTCCTGTGAAATTTGAAAATATAACGCTGATTTTTGTTTTTTGACTTCTAAATTAATATTTGTTTGGCGTGTTATTGTATCTTAAATTAAAAAGAGTTAAGAAATATATAGTTAAAACAGAATTATGTTCGAAGATTATAAAAACTGTTTATTCAATAAAAATTATCACTATAGAAACATGAATTTTATTCAACTGAAGTAAATAAATTTATCTAAAAAAAGATAATAAAAGAGTCATGTTATAAGATGGAATTCACACAAGTGCATCAGAAATTATTAAAATGTTTTAGCTCAACATTAGCCAAACAGAAGTAAATGGATAAGGTTAAAAAATTTTTAGTTTAATAACATACAATTTATCAGAAGAATTTATACAAAAATTTCAAGATAAAGTTGATTCAAAATATATTTCTGAATATCAGAAATTATCAGATATTGAAAAATTTTCGGATAAAGTTAATTGGAAGTGCATTTCTGAATATCAGAAACTAACAGAGAATTTGTAGAAAAAATTCAAAATAAGGTTGATCGGGGATTTATTTCTGAAAATCAAGAAGTACCTGAAGAATTTATTGAAAATTTTCAAGATAAGATTGATTTGGAATGTATATCTATAATTTATGATTTATCTGAAGAATTTAAAGAAAAATTACAACATAATGTTGACTGGGAATGTATTTCTAGGCATGAGAATTGATCAAATGATTTATAGGAAAATTACAACATAATGTTGACTGGGAATTTATTTCTAGGCATGACAATTGATTAAATAATTTTATAGAAAAATTTCAAGAAAGTTGAGTGGGAAGATATTTCTAAATGTCAGAAATAACAGAATAATTTAAAGAAATATTTCAAAACAAAGTCTGATGGAACTACATATCTAAGTATCAGAAGAATTTATAAAAACATTTCAAGATAAATTAATTAATTGGAATCATAATTAAGTTAATTGAAATCATATTTCTAAATGAAAAATGATAAATACTTTGATTACATAATAATGGAATAACTTTACATATTTTTCAAAGAAGACCACTTTGAAATCTTTTTAGTCTCATTTTGATATTTTTTTATTTTCAAGAGTGTAAAAAAATCCCTCTGTTTTATAATTATTTACGTCCCTCCCAGTAGGGGGTATCAAGATAGAAATCTTCAAAATATGCTATATTTATTAATTTTTGGTCCCATTTGGTATTCACCTTTTATTTTAAAAACTTGAGATTTTTTTAAAATTTTTTCCTGTAATTTTTTAGTGTCATATTTAAAAACACACATATTTATTACAAAAACTTGACATGTGACAGAGTTGTTTAGGTTTCAGCAACTGTGAGCCAGTTCAATCACTTTGATTCTATCTGTTATGTCTGATATTACATCTAATTCTAACAATCATGTACAATTAATTTTTATTACTCTTCATTAGCAAACATAAGCATCAAGTCTGGTGGAAGCATTCATCATTCACAGAAGCATTACATACTGTGCTACTGAAGAGTATTCACTAATCATTGTTGGCAAAATTTAAATAAATATGCTATATTTATTAATTTTTGGTCTCATTTGGTATTTACCCTTTATTTTAAAAACTTGAGATTTTTTTTTTTTAAATTTTATTTTTGTAATTTTTTAGAGTGTGTCATATTTAAAAAATATTTAAAAACACACATATTTATTACAAAAACTTGATATGTGATAGAATTGTTTAGGTTTCGGCAACTGTGAGCCAGTTCAATCACTTTGATTCTATCTGTTATGCCTGATATTACATCTAATTCTAACAATCATGTAGAATTAATTTTTATTACTTTTCATTAGCAAACATAAGCATCAAATCTGGTGGAAGCATTCACCATTCATCATTCACAGAAGTGTTACTTACTGTGCTACAAGCATTCACTAATCATTGTTGGCAAAATTTAAAGACTGTTAACATATTTTATTTGAAATGCACAAGATCCCAATCTTAAGCAAAATTTATTGTAAAAAAACTACGTGTAAATTTTACAAAAATAATTATTTAAGTCTGCAAATGCAAATTATTTTTATAAAAACAATTGTAACTGCAAACTTTCCATAATAATTAATCAGCTTTTCAATTATTTCAAAATTACATTAAATAAAAAAATTTTAAGTTAGGTTAGCTACACAGTTCAAGATAATCTGTTCCAGGAAAGTATGCTTTCATGGTGAATTTTGTATAGGGATATGGCTCATACTTACATAAAAGAAAGGATTAAAAAAAAATGTTATTAACTCTTTGAATGATACAGCCTTTTGAATCTGTACTGAAAGAACTGTATTGAAATATCCATTAGCTAAATTTGTACAATTCGTTATTTTAGTCTCAGTTTTTCATCCACTAGTTTAACATTTAGATCATTAAAAAAATAAGAAAACATAATTTTTTAAACCATAAGGTAATTTATGCCAAATGACAAATAAATCTCATGACCTGGATAAAGGTGGTCATATCTCTCAAGGAATTAATACATCGTATCTCATTAATAAAGACACACAAAAAAATTTTTTTACAATCATCTGCTTCTTTACAAATGATCAGAAGTGGGGAATGAGAATTATTGCTGAAAAAAACATTTAATTATCAAAAACTACAGCAGATGTGAGATTAAAATGCCAGACGTGCTTACAGGACTAACAGAAATACTATTTCATTGTAATCATCCCTTACAAAAATGTCTTATAAATGCTCTAGAAATTCCTATAGAACCTTATAGGTAATCTCCTGCAGAAATGGTTCACTATGAAATTCTAAAGATACTTTTATAAAGCTTTCACAAAGCAGAATTCTATAAAAATGTTGCTTTGCAAAATTATACAGAAATTTTATAAAGTCTTTATTGAATAGTATTCTATAAGAATTTACATGGTTTCAAAGTGTAATCAAAACAAATTTTTAGTTTTTGATGTACTACATGGGATAAACAACAGTGAAAATACATAACTTTTATTCATAAATGTTGGATTACTTTTGATTGATTTTTTTTTAATCTATCTCTAATATAATACAAAAATTTCTTTTTTAAAGCTTAAAATCAGTTTAAATCAGAATTCCATTATAATGCAAGCACAAAAAAGACATATGATTAAAATTACATAAAAATAATGTTTACAACAGTGTGATTGATTGACTGATTCTGATAAATGATATTTACTAATTATATATAAAAGCAATAACATAATTATTATATATGAACTATTCATGAATGATTGAATAATAATTCATAATGCTGTTTGTTAATAAATAAATACCAATAAAAATTGTGAAATCTTTGCTTAAGAAAAACTTGCCAAAATCTGTTTATAACACTGTTAATTAACCAATGAGTTTCCAAACCAAATTCTGAAATTTTTGCTTGAGAAAATCTTGGCAAAAGCTGTTTGAAATACTGTGCAAATACCAATAAGAATCCCCCTCCCCCCAAAAAAGAAAGAATAATGAAAAAAAGAAAAAGAAATTTTGCTTGAGAAATACTTGCCTATCTTCAACTCTTTTTGTACTGTCAACTTTACTCGCAGCCATTCGAATTTTGTACTGAATGTAATGAGGCAATTGGTCACGATTTTCCAAATTTGTAAAAACTACACCAGCCCATAGTTTGTTATCTTTAATAAGTTCCATGCCATATTTTTCAATTTCATTTTCATTTTCATATGCAACAAAACGGTTCATTTCAAAGCACTAAAACAAACGAGAAATGTAAGTAAAAAAACAAAAATTTTAAATCATTAAATTACAAGATACATGCAATTTTGGGTTACATATTAAGATTTCTTAAAGATGAAACATGTAACAGGGGCCAGAACGATATTAAATTTCAAAATTACATCTCATAAAAGAAATAGCATTTCCTTTACCTCTTTTTAAAGGGTGGTCAGATTCCATTGACCACCCTTTAAAAAGAGAAATATGGAAATCAAAATTATAACAGAAATTAGCAATAGGGCCTTCATTCTTCATTTTAATTTGGGATTTCCCCTCTCTATTCTATAAATAATAACTATTACTAATTCTGGACTGCATCATTTCTAGATTAATCCATACCATGTGACTTTTATATAATGCTAGTGACATAAATAGAACTAACTCGGACAGCCAATAATAATTTAAGAGCTTTATTAAATATCCAAACAAATGGTGTTGAAACTGAAACTAACACACTCTAATTAAAATTTTCTGAACACATTGCACTTTGCTTCCTCTTCCCACCCCCCTATCTACACTGCCACTGCACTGATATCTAACTACCAGAGTATCAAAAATGTAAATCTTATGTTCTGGGACAGACATGATTAGTGTTCCAAGTTATTTGTGTCAGCAAATATTAATTCAAATAAAAATGAATATTTAAAGTCTGAAACTAATACTTCTTATTAAATGTCACACCTGCAAGCTTCTTCAAGTATGTTATATCATCTATTATTAACGAATCTACAATCTACATTTTTGTATGCTTCAACATCTATCTGCAACATTAATGATTTTCCAAAACTTTAGATTTTGTTGAAAAAGATATTAAAACTTTATTATAAAAATAGAAAAAATTAATTTCATCAAATGCTATAAAATTTCTAATGCTGACGAAACAGTTAAAAATGAGATGAAACATTTATACATGATCCACATTTATGAGTTCCACGAGACATGCCAAACAAAAAATGTACACAGACAAAATTGAACTGCTTTCAAATACATAAACTTCCCAATGCACACATAATTTTATTCAAATAAAATCCATCCAGGGCTATCTTTCTGGATTGTGATTTTTACAAAAATGAATTAAAGATGCAGATCTCAGTCAGCTCGAATATACACAGCTTTGCATTATTAAACATGAATGCATTTTTTATGCACATGACAAATGATTTTTAATTAGATATGATCATAAAATTTAAAAGTCTTCATTTCTCCTTTTCCATATTAACAGAAATTTAAAAAAGGAGCTTATATTTCTTAGGGAAATGAATTCATATATATATATAATATATGAATAAATCCCCAGTTATTATTACTTGCGCAATTGCTGCAAAGTTAGTTAATAATAATTTATTTCCTAAACAGTATTGATTAATTGATTATATTATCTCCTAAGTTTAATTAAAGTAGAATTATTTTAAAAGTGTGCATCCATACTGGTAAGTTATATTTTGAAAGATGTTTTGAAGTAATTTGAAAGCAAAATGTTAATAATGTTTTAACGGGGACTGGAGTTAAATCATCACGAAGAATAATATTACAATTGTAAAAGTAAAAATTAAAACATGTAATTATTGTCATTGATCGGAAATTAGTTGACTTTTCAAGGGGAACAAACCAACTCCCGTTCAATGATCAATAATTGATAAAAATACGTAAATATGAAAGTGTTTCGTCTTTACTCGAGTTATAAGTTAAAGCCAAACCGGCAATTCTAGTCAGGCCAAATATTTCCGCGAATAGTTGTTACTCAAAGAACTGATTCTCATGAAGCATTTTAGTCAATTCAATTTGGAGTAAAAATCAATTACTGTAGAGAAATCTTGTAAAACTCGAGTAATCGTCCCCGACACTATCATCTTTATGTATTTGAGTACTATATTATTTGTAGAAATTAAACATTGGAAATTGTCATTATGAAATCGAAATCAAAGTAAAGTTGAAATAAACATAGAAGATTATAAAAAAGATAAATAATGCAAACTTTGCAAAAACAAATCAAAGAGAACATAAAAATAATATAAAAATAAAATAGAAAATAATATAAATAAGATCAGTGAATGTACATGAAGATATAAAGGCCAGAAAGGTATTAAGTAACTTACATTCTTTCTAGTGGGGGAGTTGGCAGTGTGTTCTCTTCGTGTCTGACTCAGAAGTGTAGGGTGTCCGAAAATTCTTAGCGGCAGTAGGGGCTTTGAATTATATCAGTCGGTAAGACTTGGGTGAAGAAATTTATGGTAGTGGGTGGGACTTGGAATTCTTGAGGGATGTATTTTGTGGAGTTCTTATCTGAGAGAGACCGTCTGTTAAGATTTTTTTTAAAAATACTAGTGAATGGAAATTAATTAATTTCTGGCTAATTGTCGTGTCGCAATGATTAAGAATTTAAGAAAGGAAAAAGGCATTTTCGCTATCCAAGAGCTAGTAGACAGTCTAAAGGCAGGAAATAGGCCCATTTTTTTAGTAACAGTATAGTAACAGTATATGTCTGAAGACAATTAGCTTTTTACAATATATACAATTGAGTAATTACACTATATACAAATCTTTCAACTGACAGTCATCCAACTTATACCGCCTTCTCAGGTTTAGGAATAAATTATCATATCCCTATCAGTTAAATGATTTAGAGTGAGTATTTAACGCCTGCTCTTTTAAGGCAATGGTTGATAAATTGAAAGGGAATTAGATTATTTTTGAGAATTTTGATAAGGATCAAAATTTCGCGTTGTAAATCTATTGTATCTGTGCATATAGTTTTAATTCGTTGTATTTGATTAATTATAGTATTGTTAATTACTTTTTTGGATATGTTGGAGTTCCAATTTATTAATTTGTTAGTATTGAAATTGAAGTTTCTTGTTTTGTCAAAAAGTAAAATTTTTTTGTAGTTAAAAACACCTTTCATTTTTTTTATATTATGAATTAAGGATTTTTTCCCCTGAAAGCAACTTTTCGATCAACAAATACTTTTATTTTTACTTTACATTAAATTATCTTTTATTACTATTGTAAAATTAAACATTTTGCTTTCAAATTACTTCAAAACATCTTTCAAAATATAACTTACCAGTATGGATGCACACTTTTTAAAAAATAATTCTACTTTAATTAAACTTAGGAGATAATATAATCAATTAATCAATACTGTTTAGGAATAAATTATTATTATATATATATATATATATATATAATTGAATTGAAACTAAAAGTATTTGTGCAAAGACCTATTTGGGCTTAAAAAATTTTTGCACGTGCAAAATTATGAAATAAAGGAAAATATTGAGGAGCTGCCAATATATATATATATATATATAGATAAACTAGTAAACTCCTAACAAATTAAAAGTTTAACCAACATTTCCCTTCTTCATTGGAAGCAGGGTATAAAGAATTAAAAAAATAAACTCTAACTATGAATAACTTTAGCTAATGGAGGGCAAAAAATTTTGAAAGCTTTCTAACATCAAAATTTGGGTCTTTATTTGAGCTGCTCTAATAGGATGGCAATCTTTTAAAGTTGCTTATTAAGCAGACTTGAACTTCATGGCATAGACAAATGTGGATCTTAGGTCTTTCAAATCCACCAATCTGAGAGCCTTGTGAATTTCAAAACCCTTGACTGCATCGATGAAATGCATCAGCGCCAGATTTTTGTGGACATCAGGTATACAGTCCGGATATTCTTGATGAAACAATCTCTCAATGTCAGTCGTCAGTTCTTGATGTCTTCCTCTGATTTCCTGCAGACAAGCTTTTAAATGCCCCTGGCTACAGTCCTTTACACATTTTACCTCAAATTTCAGTTCCAGTGGATTCGAGAGGGCATTGAAGTTTGAAATCTGGTTTTCTGATAGGACTCCTAAGATGTCTGCAGCATTGCCTCAGAGTGATGCAGCCAACTGCAAGGCCTTCATGTGGGAGTCCCACTTGTTAGTTTCCGACACGATAAAAAACTGTGTCTTATATACACTCCATGATGATTTTCCAGTGTATGCGCTTGATTTGATTACTGTATGAGAAGAAAGTGGGAAAACCTTAAAAGATTCAAGTTTGTTCTTGGCTTCGGTCTGGTTTTCTTTCGAAATGTCTACTTCTTTCTGAAACTTTCTCGATTTCTCTTCAAATCTTTCTTCCACATCTGCTATTTTGGTTCCAGTTTCTCTAACTTTTCCTTCTCTTTCTCTTTCATGTCTTCTAATTTAGTTTGGGTTCTTTCTCTAAGCTCCATGATGTCACTTCTAATCTTATTTCGCTCCACTTCCGTCTGTTGGAATTGTTCTTGAAGCTTTTCTTGTCTGGCTTTTATTTCTTCTTGATCCAATTTTATTTCGCTCTCTAACTTTTCTTATTCCACCTTGATCTCAGTCTTCATCTCTTCCTGTCTTTTAATCGCTTCTTGTCCGGCTTTTACAGCTGCTGTCCATCAAAGCGTTCATTTTCTTTGCCATGGCAATCTCCTGTAGGTGGTTCATCGGCATTCACTCATAAATCCTACTTCTGACATCAACTGTTGCATTCTCTGGGTTCATGGATAAGAAGTAATTGATGATAACCCTTGATGAGAATCAAAATACAATTTATATGCCAGTAAGCACTATTACACAGGATAGTTTCAAAGACACATTTAAACTCATTAAAAAACTACAACAAGCATGCTGAAACAATCAGCAACTCACCTTCCAGGATATAACGGTGAAAACAGCTTCACAACAAACCTGACTCGATTGATTGCTCTCAAGCTAATCTCTGAATTCAAGACACTACATTCACCCCGTACAGGCAGGTTATATATAACTTTAACCTACCTTCGAGAATATTCCCAAGAAAACCACTAAGAAAGCGTTCTAGAATGTTCTCACTCCGTCTATGACATAGCGCCAGTTTTGTCACCAAGTATTGCCAAATGGGCGATTTGGAACTAAATCTGGCAACACTGCCTTTCCTTCCACTTTCTATAACCCTAAGCCCGTTTACCTGCTTTGTGGGGAAGTTATCTCACCACGCAGCAGCTGGGCATTTTGCAACAATATAATACAGGGCTATAATATTTGGTGGCAATAATTTGAAAAGTGATACACCCATTTATAGTGATTTGATACAAAATGCCTTTTTGAGACTAATAGCCCTTCTTGGCTAACAGGAAAGTCTTCTTTTGAAACATGCCTAGCATTTCTTGTATACCTCATTCAAAGCTTCCTTTAAAAAAAAAAAAAAAGTGTCAGGCATGAAAGTGCAAGTTGGCAAAAAAAAAGGTGAACAACACGCAAACACAAAATTACACAAAAACAAAATGCGCGCGTGTGACCTAAAGGAAAAAAAAATTTTTTTAATAAAATATCAACCTTTTAATATAAAAAGTAGTAAACATATACATATAATTAAACTAAAATAATACTTGTACTTACTATTCTGCTATTAATTAAATCTTCCACTTGTAAAAAAAAAAAAAAAAAAAACCAGTAAATCACCAAGAGATTGTAATGAATTAACCTTCTTTAAGATGCTCTTTATGTAACTTAATTTAACAGTTGCTAAAAGAATACTGTACACAACATTACAACACACTAATATACATATTTATGTTACATATTACTGCCCATTTTTAGGTAATGACAAGTTTTAGAGATTAAAAAAATATATATACAGTCAAAAGTCGTTAATCCGGACTCGTCGGGACTTCGGTGATTCCGGATTATAGATCATCAGTTTAAATCTCGTAAGATGGCATGCAGAAATTCTAAAATTTAAAATATGAAACCGTAATTTATGAAATAAAGAACAATTATGATCTTAAATGGTATCAAAATTTACAAAAAAAAAGCTTAATATTTATTTGTTTACTTTATTAAACATTTCTTTCAATGTTTTCAATGTTTCTTTCAATGTTTGTTTAAGTTGCTTCGTTTTATGTGATAATACTTTCTCTTTAATTCTATAAACAGACATAATTTCTTGTTCAGTTACAAAGTTCCGCTGTTCAAGTCCTATAACTGCTGTGCCAAGAATACCGACTAACATGTCAATCGAAATTTTTTCGTTTTCACTAACCTCTCTGTCACATTCTTCATGTCTTTATCCATTTTTTGCAGAAATTCCACTTTTTGTTTGATGGACATTGAAACATACTTTCGTTTTGTATGATCCTTTGGGAGCTCCAGAATCGGAAATTCTATTTGACATAATCGAAAGTTCTAGTTTACTTTTATAAAATTGCTCTTACAGTCTGCAAAAAATAATAAGCCGGATCCGATTCAAAGATTAAGGAACAACGCAATCATCAACATTAACTGAAATAGATAATTAGATAATTTTAGCTTATACCGTCCGTTATATGTAAACGCGCTTGCGCACAGGCATATGCGCAGACGTAAAAGGTCTTACGCGCACGCGTAAAGCCTATGCGCATGTGTCAACGCGGCGCATGCGCAGAAAGTTTTTAGCTTTGAGGTCCGGATTATAGATCATTCCGGATTATGGGTGTCCGAATTAACGACTTTTGACTGTATATATAACTGTTACTATAGCTTTCAATTATCTTCACTTTTAGTTCAATAAACAGTACTTTATATAACACCAGAAAAAGTAGTCATGTCAGATAATATAGTTACAAAATAACATATAGTTAAAGGAGGAATATAAAAAATAACTATTTTGTCTCAGTCTCACTCGATCCTGATTAAAAATTTTTAGGGAAAAAGCGTTTTCTTTTTTGCTACTTTTGCAGCGAACTTAATGCAAGTGGTCATCCCTTTTAAAAAATTCCAGAGCTGACTTATTGCAACTCAAAAATTTGTATTTTTCTGTTTGTATAGCAGACAATGTGTCTATACTCATGCGGCCACACTCCTTGTCTAACACACTGCTCACAGAACTAAAAGCACTCTCAACTTGTGGCCCATGGAAACAGCTTAAAATAGCTTTTACCATTTTGGATAAAGCTGGATAACTGCCATCTGCAAATACTTTGGCCCACCACTCATCAAGTCTCATTATTTTTCCATCTATATCTAATGGTGAAGCTAATTTTTTATCAATTTGGATATTTATACATTTATAAATAATATGAAATTTTGTCTTCTTGTGTCAAAACATTCTGGATTAATTCAGGCAATCTTTTTAACTTAAGCAAGATACTATGGTGACCTCTGGCTGTAGGATCAATTCCTTGATAATGCTTTTTAATAATGGATTGTTCAATTGGCAAAGTCTTCTGCAGATATTTTGCATTGTTGATGAAAGCTTCAGTGGAAATTTTTAAAAAATTATTTAACATATGTTTCATCTTTTTGACATATGTAAATCTTTTTGAAATAAGTGCAATTGCAGCTGCTCATAAATACATATTCTTTGGGGATAAAAGATGAAATTCATCTGCAATATCTAAAGTCAAAATTTCCGAGATAGATTTATTTTGGAGAAATTCTGACTTAATAAACAGTGCTAAAAAATCAATAAATAGCTGCTTCTGCTCATCATGCAATTTATGTATTAAAGGCTCTTTCATTTGAAATAGACAGATATACTTTTTTAATAATGGCAATACAGACACATAAAAATGCATAATTACTTGCAGTATTTTCCTGTCATAAATAATTTTGAAATTATTCTTCCTTTTTGTTTCCTCCCATCATTTGTCAAATGCTTTTGCTGTAAATATCTGTAAATATCCTTAATACGTTCTCTGCTTTCATTACTCAGATTTCTTTGCTTATAGATACTGCAACATATATTAAAATATAATAATCTGTTATGCTGAATTAATATGCTGATTTAAAAATCCATAATAAAAAATGGTTAAACAATCAAGCATGAGTAAATTACTCAACGTAACATCATATATGGACAGCCAGCGGTGTTTAATAAAATGTTTAATAGCAGTATATTTGACATTTGAAATCACACATATTTCTTCTAATTTTTCTTTTAATTCCACAGACCATAATATATTAGATTCCCTTTTTCCCCTTTTTCCATAATATATTAGATCAGAAAACAATGCACACTTCACTTTTCCACTGATATCCATTTTCTGAATGCAACTGCCAATGACCCCTTCCATTTCTTGTCCATTCACATGAATTTTTTTGGTGTTTTTCAGCCACGCAAATCGGAACTTATTTTTTCCTTCACTATCTATACGGCGAGCTTTGTGTTCATGATTCGGATTTCAAATAGTCATAGTGAAAAACTTACAGCAACAAACAAAAAAGAAATAACATAACGATCTACACTCCAAATTACAGTATGCCACTTTACACACGCTAAAATTCGCACATGCCCTGGATAACATCAATAGGGTATCCGTATGTCTGACAGATGGCGCCAGCACCGATCGCTGAAATTATTGAAGTCAGCTCTCGTTTGACGCATCTAGTTCCGCCTTTCCACATAAGCCCCACCTACTTCTGCAGATTGATGTGAAACAATGCATTTCGCGATCTCTGGCATGATGTAGTTTTTTTTTTTTTACAAAGAAAAGAGGAAGAGAGAAAGTATGTTCTCCATTTACCCCCCCCCCCCACACACACACACATTTGCTCAATGGTTCTGCATCGATCTCAGAAACAGCCCGGGTGACGTTAAAAAAAGTGGAATTCTGTGAAAACACAGAAAACTTTCATGCCTAAAGTATAATTACTTTACAAAAAAATTTAAATTATTCCTCATAAAATTTCTTGCTAGAAGTTTAGCCAGCTATTTAGGATGCATTAAAATCTGAATATTAAAACATTAGCAAATTAAGGAGGGAAATAAACCAAAATGATTTTATGATACCTACTTGCAAGTAATCTCGGACTTCTGTCACGACTAGATTAATTTTTTCTAACCATCCACTGGAGTTGGACAAAAGAATTCTAACAACGTCATTTGCAGCTTCTAGCATAGAGAATAAGGTTTCATTTCCATTCTCTGTCAAGGTGATGTTAGTGAGTAATTCTTCTAAAATTTCTTGAAAGAGTGTGTTTTCAGGCTTTAAGAATTCCTAAACACAAAATATTTATAATTAATGAGGATAAACTATATTAAAAGAACAAGAATAATTTTTGCCTTTTATCCTCTAGCTTAATGTTCTTTAACTTCTAAATTAATGCATTATTTTTGCGCAAATTTTTGCATAGTATTGCTCTTACAATATAAAAATTAAACACTGTAAAAGCATAAATATATTTAAATCATAAAACTAATTAAAGGATTAAATTTTTGCTATTAATTATAAAATTTTAATTCCTGAAATTAATACTTTTAATTCTTGCATGTGTTCCCTGATAAGAAAAATGTATGCTTAGCTAAATTTAACTATTTAAAAAATAAAAAGTATTTATTTTTATTTAAATATTTTTTTAATCAAAATCCTATTAAAATTTTAACTATGAAAAAAAATCACATATTCCCCTTTCTAAATCATAGACCATTTCTAGAGTTAGGTTAAAAAATTCTATTAAAAAATGATAATTTAATTCATTCATTTTAATCTCCAAAGGAAATTTTATTGATTTTATAATGCTTTCAAATACTTAAAAGTTCTACAGTACCTTTTATTTAAAAAATAACTAAATAAAGCAAGGCAACCAGTTAAGAATTCTTCAGAATTACAGCCCAGTTTTCTATAAACTGAATTTGATATTTTCAGTAGAATTCTATTAGTTGGTTCATTATGCATTATATAAGATTCTTCACATGAGACCTTTGGAAATTAGAAACTGTACAAATTTTAAAAGAATATTTGCACAAATCTCTACCCAACATCTACACATATCTCTATACATGACTCTTTAGAATATCTACCTAAAATTTTATAGAATTCCAGAGATGTCTGACTTAGTTTACAGAAAACTCCACCATAATTCAAATAGATTCTAAAATGTTTAACATTGGATTTTTTAATAGAATTCTTTAAGATTTAATTTTTGTAAGAGAAATATCAGGAATTGAAAATAATAAAAACATACTTCAATAATGGACAAATACTGAGAGCTGTTCAACAAGGCATGGGACACTTCTGCTGACCAGTTTTCCAGCCAATTATTACTAAGCTCTACAGCTTCCACAAGAGGAGAAAAAGTCTTATTCACCTGAAAGCACACAACAATAATAATTGCCAAATTACTTGAAAATAAGACTTTATAACAAATTTTAAGAAAAAAAAGGGTTAATTTTTGATGATGTAAGATTCTGCAACCTGTTTCAGTTGCACTGAAACTACTGAAAGTCATTTTCCTAGAAATAAAAGAACTCATATACATACATGTGTGTTTGTGTGTGTGTTTTGATCTGGATATATGTGATTTAAAACTCAATATACACTTACTGCTCAATGAGGACAGAGACATAGGCATACACAGGAATTTTTTCCCTTTTATACAGCAGTCAGTGATGATACTACTGATTTTGATGGTGAAGTGGATATGCCAGCTTTGCTGTTGTATGATCTCTTTTCTTAAGCCATGATCCTCTAGGACTTCATGTTCTTGCCAGCAACATAATCTGTGACTCAAAGTGTATTTATGAGTGCCAACACCTTTTGAATGCTCTTAATAACACTATAGTAAGCGTCAGCATATTACGTAGAACAGGGAAGTAAGAGAGCAGATACCCTGGCAAGAAAAGAATGATTGTCTTTCCAAATCCTAGAAATTTTACAAACTTTCACTCTGCTAAGAGGCTAATAAATATGGAATTTAGCAAGATTCATACTTCAATTTTGGAATTTAGCAAGATTCATAGCAAATTGATGCAAAAATGTCAGAGGAAAGGTTTGGAACTGTGTCCCGAACAAGAAATATAATATTCCTCATTCTGCTCATGTTTGAGCAATGGTATCATACCATCAACATAATGTCTTCAATGCTCATGTCTTTTACATTAGAATACAAAATTCTCCACAGTATTCTTTTTTATTCTAGATATCTTACAGACAAAGAACATTTAAGCTTGTATTCCATGCTTAATAATTTTAATTCTGTCGCCCAAAAGAACTGGGAAACAAGATGGCTAATTAAGTGCCAAAAGCCAGGCACAAGTAAATAAATACATAAAAATAATTATTTGATTACAGCATGATTTTGATTGGAATTCATTTGTTTCTGATTAGAATGAAAGACATACTACCTAATAAAATACAGTATTTTATTATGATTTCGGGGGGAAAATTAGGAAAAATTAACAATGCATTAGTACTCATTTCTTTACAGACCTACCAGTGAGTAGTACAGAGCGTGCAGGTCTAAACTGAAATTGCTCAACTAGATGTTGCTGTAATAATTAATGGTAGTTATGCAGCTTACAAACTTAGCAAATACCTGTGTGATTTATTTAGTATTTAAATGGTGTAATTATTCTATGTAGTTTGATAGCTAAACTTCTTCCTTCATCTTGCTATTTCATTTTCATTTCATTAGCCAATTTCAATCTGAATACATGACTCCAACAAAAATATATAAAAAAGAAGGAGACTTATTTTAATAAAATAAAATAAATAATAAGAGTAAATATGATATTACAGGCAAAGTACAAGACTTTTTTTTTCTCATTATCAATAACAATCAAATTTTTTTTTTCTCATATAAAATTTTAAATTTCATTTTCACAAAACAAGATTATAGGAAAACATAGATTGCATAAATGCCTTTCACTTTTTTGGGGGGGGGGGGGGAAAACTGGTTCATGAATTTTTTTTTTTTTTTTTGTCATCTCTGATACAGAATCAGCACTTAACAACCTGAAACACAATTTGAATACTTCCCTTTCCTTAACTCTCACTGACAAAGGCTGCAGTAAATGACTTTGAGGACTATAAATTTGGTGTGAAAGCAACTACGACAGGACTGTGTTGCAGGATGAGATTTTGAAGATTTTGGACAGTGAGGAAACTTTCTTTTTTAATCTGTGATAATGTGTCTCAAGAGAAAATCATGAGTTTGGATATTAACTATGAAGATGTACAAAAGTTTTTAAAGGATCACAAAAATGACTTCAGTCAGGAAGAAATGGAAAAATTTCAAAGGTAGCAACAAATAAGGACCAAGAAGGTTTTGTTTGTTTGTTTTGATTTTTGTTTTTTTCCCATAAATCCACAAAATTTGTGAAAACATGGTAAAGCACAAAGTATCGTAAAATGATAGCATTCTGATAAAGTAGATTAAAACACAATATAACGCATTTTAAAAATTTCAGTGAAACAGAGGTCAAGCAAAGTTGAGAGGAATTAAGAGATAAAGAAGAAGGAGAAAGGCTCCAAGAGAAGTCACCTGATGTTTTATGCAAGAAGACTCTCCATTCAAGCAATTGTTCACCATTCATGCAGATGCAATAAAATTACATTAAGTCTTTGTGCATTTTATCTGTTTATTATTGTGTTTACCATTTTTCTTTAATATTTAATGATTTTCAGTGATACTGGCTTACAAATTTACACATAGTCTACTCCTATAAAAGTTTAAATAAGCAAACATCTGTGAAGGTGAAAAGTTTCAGTTTTTGAATATATTGGGTAATAAATGGTTTTCAGGAATAAATTACATTCATGAATTGAGGTTTTACTGAACTCAAAAACTAGTCATCTTTTTCTACTATATTTTCGTATGTGTCATTTCACTCTTCCAAAACAATCAGAAAAAGTTGCAGAAGATAATGGCTGAAGCTATGGCTATAATTTTCCATTTTTATTTACAAGACATTTAAAAAGTATGCAGTATTATAGTTTAATAAAGAATGAGTATTAATGAATGAAATAAGTTAGCTACAATGAACTAAGCTGTCTTAATAAGTTGGCCATTAACAAATATTGGATTATTGAGCTCAATATGTAAAAGTTGACTCACTGTGGTCATAATCTCTGTAGCAGCTCTGCTGTTTGGTGAATAAATTATTTTCCCTCTGACGAAAGGTTTCATTTGATTCCACAACATTCTTGTCAGCTGGTTTTGCTCCAGTGTCCGAAATAAATTATTACACTTTGGGGCTGCAATAAGCAAGCATGCATAAAATAGTACAAAAGTTATGACACATATTAATATATCTATAAATCACACAAATGCAAATCCATATAACTGATTTTGCCATAAAATAGGCACTATTTATAAAAGTTATCTTGAAAATTTTGTAAATTCTGAACGATACTATGCATATTTGAAAACTGAAAGATGTAAAAGATAGGAAAAAATGGAGAAACAAATCAATGTAAAATATTAAAATAAAAATTCCCCTCACTAGATTTGTGTGAACCATGAATAAAATCCTATTAATCTCGAAAGCAGTCTGACATAGGTCCCCTTTTTTTATGAGCAAAAAGTTTTTGCAAAGGTGAGAGGGAAAAAAATTAAATTTATATGTAAATCAATAGGTAGAGCAAAGAGAAAATGGATGTAGCACCAAATGGTCAGGGAAAACAGTAATGAAAGATGAAAAAGGAAGATGTTGGAGTACTAAAAACACTGAGCACTGAACTGGAATCAATGTCCTTAACTGCAGATTAATTTCAGTTAATATGAAAGTTTAAAATCCAATTCATAAACTGAAGAAGATTTGCGATAATTTTCACAAAGTCAAAAACATGGTCAATAATTTTAAGAATTTATGTTCATCTTTTTCTAACCCTCTTTAATTATCATCTAATTTGACAAAAATACACTTATGAGAAAGAAAGATTTAGCATTTATGGCATTTCTCTCACTTTGAAACACCTACATCTAGCTGATACACACTCTTTTGTTAATCTATTCATCCGTATCACACATTCATAAATCTAATTAATGTCATTGAATAACTAATGAGTAATTATATCTCATTTTAAATCCAATTAGTTTAAATTTCTGCAGTATGCATAAGAAGAAACATCACAGAAATCAGAAGGATCTATTAATAATAAAGAGAATTATAATATTTTTTTTCTTCAAATGAGTAATTTTTAATGTTATTCGAATTAAGTAGCAATTAAAATAAATAAATTATTAAATAAAATCTGAAAAGATAACCAATCAATTATTATTATTATTATTATTTAATACTTCTAACAGAGAACATTAGCAAATAGATACACAACTTCTTGCAATTTTGCTAACTCTACTTCTACTGTATCATATTTATGTTAACATAGCCCAAAATATTTCAGTAATGAATTTTGTATAGATAGAGTTATCTTTTGGGAGAAGGAGGGCACATATGAATATATTAAAACCTTTTTCAGGGGGCTGGGACATATATGTCCCGCACTTTCACCACTTTAAATGTGTCTCAAGAAATTTCAGTAAACTATGGAGATTTAAAATTTACTCTTTAATATGGATTAGGAAGTGCAAGACTTTGTTGATTTGTTTTTCTGTTCTTTTCATTTAAAATAAGTGACTAAATGGCCATAATATGTTCGAAATTATTGTCCACGGGAAAAGGTTAAATACTTGCTAAGTAACTGACATTGTTAGGACTAGATATGTTCTTTTCTTTCCAAAATTACATATAGAAAAAAAATATAATATATAAGTTAACTGTCATTTTGCTTTTAAGTAAAACATTAAAGCTCCCCTTGAATATAAAGAAATATTTAACTCTTTTCAGAATAGTAAGTCCTTAAGCATTTCATTGCAGTTCTCTAAACACTTTAAACCATTAGAATCTTAAAAGTTCTAACTCAAAATGTATACAAATTGGCCTACCTAGGGAAATTCTGTAGTGCAAAAAATATATTTGAGAGAAAAAATATTTCACAGTAACGAAAATTCTATGATAAAAACCTAAATTAAAAATTTTTGTAGGGATAAAGTTTTTGAAATACAAAGAAAGTGTAAACCAAAAAAAGACTGATATCCTTACAAATTAGAGAAATTTCTAAAATTTTTCTTCTGTATGTAAAATAAAATATATTTTAATGATTCTTACATAACTGAAGGAATGAATAATGAACAAGTGTAGCTAAAAAGTACTGAATTTTGTATAAGTCAAATCTTCAATATATTATCCAAACTACAAATGAAATTTTCAGATTAATTCACATTCAACTAGCCTAGTTATAGCACAAGTAAAGTTCCAATAAAACGGTTCCAATTTACCTTTTAAATGACCAACAAATCTACAGCCAATTTTCTGGTGAAATATAAGGAACGAAATCCACAGTAAACTCATAATCATGGCTAATTTCATACGAGTTAAAAAAACATACAAAAGAGGAATAACCCATATAATAATTAACAGAAAATATTATTAACAATTTGTCCGCATTTTCAAGCAGTATAATCTCAAGTAAAATAATTTGCACAAACTAAATTGGTATTTTTTTTTTTTTTTTTAAATTAAAACACTGTAAGTAACAGACGAATAAACATCATTTAAAATGAGAAAATGAAGTTATAAACAGCATTAAATAACAATATCTACAAAACAGTATAAAAAATGCCACATTTAAAACTGAACTACAATATTAATATTAAATATATATAGTAATGAAAACATGCTAAATCGTTTAACATTCAATTTAATAGTTGTTTATAAAATTATCAAAATAATTTCATTAAGATGCTTTGATACAGATTTCTTGTTTCCATATTTTAAAGAGTGAACTAACTATACTTTAAAGTGCATATTGAGAAGCACATGGTAACATAGAAATCCAGCATACTGAAATGGCAATAATATTGTTGCTAACCTTGAAATATGAAAATTGGGAGTTTATTTCAAAAGAACTCTAAACTGACTTAAATTTACTTCGAATCTATAAACTGAACTTGGAGAACTAGCAACTACGCATAACTAGACCATCTAAAATACAAGAACATCCTTCAAAAACAAAGATTAATTTAATATGAAGTCTTCATTTTTTATGCTTACATTCATAATAAATCAAGATTAGCTGTATCGGATGAAAAAGTAAAGAATCATTTATGAATTTTCCTTTTGTTCTATGACAAGCCTTAAATTAAATTCTGTCATATCAAATATTACTTTAAGTAAGGATAAAATATTCAACACCATAAGATTAATTTAACCTTTTGTTTTCTCACAGAATTAATTCACCTGCTATCATTGCTGTAACCTTGCATACTTTTCTTTTTTTCTTTTCATATTACATTATGTTGATTTGTTTATGACAGCAATTTTTTCCATACTCCACAATAAGCAATTTTAAGTGTTTTTTAGACAAAATCCATTTAATCTGCAACAGGTCCACTGGGGGTTAACAGCACAAAATTCGCTCTTGCAGTATTACTTACTTCAACATTTAAGGAACATATATATACTGTATTTATTTACATATATTTCTGCTTTTTATTACTAATTTTATCACATGAAAATTGAGAAAAGAATATGCAGTATGAACATAACAAATGTTGTGGATAAACTACTGGTAACTATCCTAATATTATTTATTTAAATAAAACTTATATTCCAATAAGAAAGCATAATAATATTAATAAGATCTACTGGGATATCTTCATTTTTGCTTTCCTGTATCTCACATCTTACCCAGGCTTGATGCTATCCACTGCTACTCCCTAGTCCTCAAATCATTTAATGCTGCTGAAACCAATTCATTGTGATCTGTAAGTTGTCACCATTTTCATTACCTTCATCATTATTTGGGCTGTTTTTCCATGTGCAATGATCTTCAGAGCAATCAAGAACATTTGATATCCCCGCTTCTCTAAGCTCATCATTATTATCTGTTCATCAATTAGAGCCCCTACACCCAAAGTCCATGAGCAAATCAATTAGTAACATGAGAATAACCACTACATGGATGAAACTATTTTAAAATTAAAGGGAAACTTTTTCACTTTCTGAATGCCTTAAGGTAGAGGAAAATATATGAATATTTAAAAGATTTTCAGACCCTTGAGTTAAAAAACTAGGGGAAAAAACATGAAGGAGGAATATACGAGTAAATATGGTAACTGCGGATGGCAAAAATATAAATACAGTACACATGAATCAGTCTAAAACTGCTAAAGCTAAAGCATTTACAATTCGGTCGTCTTACTTGTTGTGTTATCGTAGACATATTCAAAGTCATCATTTTTAACAAATATTTCTCGTTCGTTCTTCATCTGCTGCCGCAGTTCTTCAAAGTGTCGAGCTGGCCCACGGTCCTGGTCAAACAGACTGGACATGTTTCGACCACAGGTAAACAGCTGGATCAGGTGAGATGTTTTATTTTCGTCATTAGAATCAAACACACTCAGCAGTCTTTGAAATGTCGTATTAAAATTTACAATAATGTAGTACAGGTTATTCATATTTTTTAGCTGAAAAAACATAAAAAAAGCCATGAGTGTATTAAGGAAAATAGATTTCTCTTTTGAGTTGTAAGATGAATGATATAACTAATCATGCACATATATTAAACTTCATGAAATATAACTTGAAATACTGTGCACATACTTTTCACATATTAATCACTGTAGCGAAAACAAAGCAGAATTTAAAATACTAGCTACTTGTGCAGTTGGCTGCCTAAAATAATTATTATCTCTACATATAATAAAACAGAGTCTGTCTGTGTGTGTCTTTCATTCGCACTGCGCGTAAGCTAATAGACCGACGACTACGAAATTTGGTACATAGGTGCATCTAGACAAGAGCCAGTGCACCTCGAAGCGATTTTTTTCGAAATTCGAATTAGAATTTTTTTATTTTATGTTTTGTGAGGAAATCGCATCATTTTGAGACATAATGGGCTATAGGAAAGCGAGATTTTACTCTACACACTCCATTTTCACATCGTCATGAAACGTAGGCACTTAACTATTTTACGAACTTAAAATAAATTTCGTGTTTTAATAAATCGAGTAAATACAAATTTATTTAACAAAGGGAGCTTAACACCTTTTCAACGTGATTTTTCCTAAAATAGTTTATTTTTAAAAATGTAGTTTATTTTTCTTTGATTTTTGGACACATTAAACTTTTATCCTTGCGACTGCTTTTACGAAAAGAATTTTGGAAAAATGATAATATTTTGTATTTTTAAAGAATTTTTTAAATGAAGCTTCCGAGTACACTTCTCACATCTCACATCTTTACAAATGTGATTTTGGCAACAATTTTCCTGTCTTATTGTTGTTGATAGATTTTTGATGAAATCGCATCATTTTGAATAGTTTCATTCTTTTAGAAATATGGATTTGGCAACAATTTTTCAACGTATTTCTTATGTAACTGTTTTTAAGAGATTGGCATATTTCACTGTCATTTTTTTATATATATAATTTTTTTTTTTTTTTTTTTATAAAGTTGTTCTGCAGAGTAAAGTTCTGCACGGAATTTTATGTTTTTTGAGCTGCTTTCATGTTATTTTTTGCTTATTCCACTGTTTGTAAGATATTGAAAAGTTTTGCATGATTTTTTTCTTCAACGGAAAGTTGGTTAATTTTTTTATTAGGATAATTAATGTTTGTATAGAGGGATATAGCTTATTTCATTGTAATTTTTTTTCTCTTGAAAATATAAGATAAAATATCATTTATTATACTTTGCTTTTCAGAATTTTTTTATTTTTGTACTCTTTTATGTTATTTATTGCTCATTTCACTGTTTCTAAGATATTGAAAAGTTTTCAGTGTTTTTTTTTAGGAAATAAAGTTCTTAACATCCTTTATACCATTTGAGTTCTTAAGATTTTGCAAAGGGAAGTTGGTTAATTTATTTATTAGGATAATTAATATTTGTATTAAGGGATATTGCTTATTTCATTGTAATTTTGTTATACATAATAACTTTTTTTTATGAAGTTGTTCTGCAGAGTAAAATTCTACATAGTTTTAATTTAATGTTTGGTGTTCCCTTCAGCCATTTTTCCGGTACATTTAAAAGCCAGACGAAGGCTGGCAGCGAAGCTGCTAGTAAAAAATAAATAAATAATGATTTTAATCAGTTAGTTTTGTATTATGGCTCCAGCTAGTAATTAATAATAACAGAGGTGCAGAACTGCATTTATTACGTGTAAATCCCTTTGTTAATTAATCAGCAACAGACAGATTAAATTTGAAAGAAAAATTACATATCTTACACTTTGTCGAATAGCATTACACTGGCACTGGCTTAAGTAATTTGGAGGATTATTGTACATTAATTACTTGCATAATGTTTCTAGCATTCAAATGGGTTGATTGCTCCATCTACTATGATAATTAAATTTCTTTCTGCAACTTCATTTATCAAAATACTTGACAAACAAATTTTATAATAAAAATATAGTAAAAAAAAAAGAGAGTCTTAGTTTCAAGTAAACATAATATTGTATATTAAACTGCAGACTGCAAGAAAACAGTAGTAAATTAATCCCTTCAGCCTCCTCTAAGAGAAAACTTAAAGCGTTCTACTAGAGATTTATATTTTAAAACATTTCAGAGTGGGGGAAAAAGATAAGATTGAATACTGATAATGAACAAAAGAAAATGCATCAGCACATGACTTACCTCATCTAAGATACCTCCAGTAGAACTCATGATATGCTCCCATTCATTTAAATGCAAGTATCTACCTGTATTATTGGCACTAACATTTGAAAACTAAGTAGGGTAAAAAAATCCTTTAAGCAAACTGAGTAACAAACAAACACTGAAAATTATCACTTTTGATGAGAAATAAATAATAATAATAATAATATTAATAATAATAATAAAAAAACTTCAATACTTACTTGACTCAAGAATTCGACATAATTTAAATGCTTAGCTAATTCTAAAGTAAATTTCCGTGCTCTTCTGGCATTCAAATTACAGAGTTCTTTAAATAATAAATCTCGCTTAGAAAGTGAAACATCTAAAAGCTGTTCAAGGCCACCAGACGAACAAAGGTACTGCACGATGTCTGTCCGACCACGGTCGAATATCTGAAAAGTTTAATGCAAATAACATAGGCAAGAAAGAAATTACAAAAACGAAATAAATGTTACAAATTTATTCAACAAAAGAAAGACACAAGGTGCAATTAATTACATTAATGGTCATTTTACAAGTAACACAGCATATGAATTATGAAAAATGTGGACAAAAGCAGCAGTTTGCAGAATATTGCAAAAAGGCATTTTGCTGAAGTATAAAATTATGAACTGAAACATATATAAACAGTGGCTAATTATTAAACCTGTACAAAAAATTACATTTTAGCACATAAATTAATCTGATAATGCACCTGAAAGGTTTCTTCAGGGCAGTTCAGAAGATTTTAAAATTTTAATTTTGCAGGTTCAAAAGTTTCAGGTCTCTAAAAATAACTAATACTGGTTTATTACTTTTCACATGATCTTTAAGTACTTTTTTTTTTTTTTTCATTACATAAAATGTTTTGTACTGTTATGACTAGGTACTAAGACTTGTTTCATACAAGTACGAACAACATGGGCCTGTACGTAATAAGGGCTGTCTCATGTGAACCCATGTAGTTGCCACACAGGATAATTGTATAAAGGTAAATGAGGCTACTGCTGGGCTACTGCCTTATCAATTTGATCCATGGAGGATCCATTCAACTAACTAGGACTTACTGTTAACTGGCTGTAACAGGTCTGCTCAAAGTGAAGGTCACCACTCATCAATGGTTCAAAAGCCAACCTTAAAAATTTTACATGGGTGAAATTTCTAGATTGATCACATTATGGAACAAATGCCTGAATGTCCCTGATAACTTCTGAAAAACAAATGCTGTGATCCACTTATTATGGATGACCATACATAAAGTGCAGTTAAATGCAATATGACATTTGCAGATATTGTCTACAAATGAGTGTTAGTTGATCAATCCAAACATTATGCCCACTAACTTCAGGTAATAATCTGTATAGGTTCATTGAACTGAAGGATGTGAGCAAACAACAGCAGTAATAGCTGAGTGCCGGAAGAGGACACTTATTTAATTTTTAAGGTTCTGAAGATGACATTTGTAGGAAGATCAAAAAACACTATTTGTAATACTTTACTGAATTCCACCAGTTTAATGAAAAGATCATTCAAAGAAGTGTAGCTCACCAGCAATGAGATCAAATAAGCTGTTGGGTTAAGGACATTTTTACTTGTAAAATGTTAACCAATACCTACCTTAAAAGGAAGTGGAAATTATGTTAAAAAATTAAGTGTCTTCAGCTGTATACATATCAGTATATTACATTAACAAAAAACTATGAAAGTTACATGATACTTCCTTGTATAAGCTATTTACAGAATAAGCATACTTAAAAATTTGATTTTTATAGAATTATTACAATATGAGATTTTTGAAAATGTTCATATTAATAAAATAACAGAAAATACAAGGAATAAATACTATCATATTTGCAAAAAAGATACCTTTTGTATTCCCTGGAATCGAATTCCTGAAGACAGTAAAGCACTCAATGCTTTTTTTGAAATTTTTACTTTCTGTGATCGAATGGCTTCTTTGAATTCGTGTTTGTCTTTTATTAAGCTATCCATACTTAAAACACCTTCAAAAAGATGGGAAAAAAGAGTTAATTTAGAGATATATCTTTTGCTTACTATCAGTGTTTTACACACAGATTTCTTAAAATCTTTTTCCTTTCACATTGTTAAATATGGAGATGAAAATGTTCTTTAATTTCATTATCAGAATATTATATTACACATTCATTTCTATCTAATTATACATTACTTTTAATATTATTTTATGTATTAATTCCCGAAGTTCTGTTAAAATAAATTATAACATTAATTAGTTATAACAGAATTGCAGCAAATCAAGTCAAATGTCATAAATACTATGAAATTCTCCTTAAAATTTTGTTAAAAATATGCACATACAATTTGGAAATAACATTTTATTTAAAGAACAATCAAAACATGCTTACCATGTATAGGAACTTCAGGATCTGTTAATTTTTTTATAACATCATTTATTGTTTCAAAGTCTAGTAATACTTGGTCAAATTTTTCTCTAATTTTTTTATTTATATGCCTACTCAATATTTCTTCAAATTCTTGAAAAAAATTTAAGAGTCTAGAAAAAAAAAAACACGAAAATAAATAAATAAAATAAAGATAGTACCTGAAATATTTTATCATACTCATATTACATTTGTATATTAATGTCATATCACTTAAACATGAAAAAACATGAAATTTGTACAATAAATACAAACATATTTTTTAATACGCTGGACATAATTTTTCACTATTCAGAGACAAAGCTGATAAAAATTAAAAGCAAAAAAGGAAAAAGTATACAGCTTATTTGTTACTTTCTGGTTAACAAGATGCCAGTGAAAAATTGCATGCCAAGCAATGTAATGAAGCACCATATGTGGTAACTTTTTAAACCAATCTTATGTGGTAACATCGTAAGATGCAGTGATGCCAGAAATGTCTGTGCTAAAGTAGTGAGAAGAATCGAAAAGTAGCACATGAGATCAGAGATTAAGTGATTTTTTGTGACATGCTCACACGACCATGATGTCATCATAAATTTAATTTATGTGGGTTCCATAAGTTACAGTCTATAATTCGAGTCTTGTTTGTTTTATTATGAATAGATTTGAAGAGAATCTTAAGATCATATTGCTAACATCCCACTGTTTAAATCATCGTTTCTTCTTTTAATTAATTCTCAGCTAATTTAGATTGTTATTATTCAATAAATTTGTTCGGATTTATAGGTATAAATTTGTTCAGATTTTTCCTCACTCTTGGAGTGTTCATGATCCTTTTGAGTTGGTGGTTATGTAGGGAATCTTATTTTATTAATGTGTAGGAATTCTTGCTATACTTTAATTATTAATGTGTACATAATCTTATTTTATTAATGTGTAGGAAAATGATTATGCATAATTTCAGTGTTTATAACTTTTTCTTTCCATATTTTCACCAGAATGCAAATGAGTAGCAAGTATTTAAACTGAGATTTTTAGTTTTGAGACAGAAAGTGTTTCTGGTATCATGTGCATGCTATGTTGTTAGTTTCCTGCCAGCTCTTATAGTTGCAATTACTTGACTTTGTGTTCTTTTGCTGCTGACACTTTAATTCTGACACTTCGGTAGCGTTAGTGAGCCATTTTCTACTTGTATTTGTGTAGTCCTTGATTACTGTTCAACATTTCATTTAATTTGGACTACTCTATTTTATTTTGTATTACCACAGGTTGTGGAAATTATAGCATAAGAAACTGCCTTACATTCTAAGTTGTGCTTAAATAAAAGTGTTATTTTAACCTTCTCATGACTTTAGCATTGTTCTCAGACACAGTGATTATTCCCTTCATGTCTGTTAGGCTTATCAGACTAAAATAGCATTACCAGATCAAGTGTAACCCTACAAATGCTTTTCAGTTAATTTTTCTTTCTGATTATTGAACCTATTTCACTTCATCAGATTCTGATCACTAACAAAAACTATATTCTTTCCTTGTTAATTTTTTTTTATTTAGAAATCTGGTGTTACTTTAATTTTAATGTATACAACTTCCATGAGTCTTAAAAACTGTTGTGATATTTTAGTTTACTTTTCATTATAATAATGTTCACACAACCATAGATGCTTACAATGTGATACAATTCAGTTGATATCACAGAAAATAACATTTTGATTTCATTTACTTTGAGCAATTCAAGTGATATGACTTTACAAATGCTGTGCATTTCTCTTTGTTTTAATATAAAATCTCAGATAAATTTGATGGCACTTTTTTTCTTTAAAATTTCACTCGAATGGTCAATGGATTGCATGGGTGCATGGCAAGCAACAAATACAGAAACTTCAATTCAAATTTATTTAAACTGCCCATTTTATCAATTAAAATTTTTGTGCTTTTCTGAAACAGGATTTCTTGAGAGTTTTGTTTATGATTTCAAGAAACACTGTACTTCATTAACCTTCTGGCACAACTGTTCGGATCTGCTCAAAGACTTGTATTTAAACAGCTTTTATTAGCAAATTTACAATAATTTATTTTAGCCTCTATTTTCATATATTTCCATTCATTAAGATGATATTTATACAATACAGAGACAAAAACTGAATGTTAATGCATTTAATGCTTTATTATTGCAGGGCTGCCAGTCGCCAATTTTTATTTAAAATTGAATAAATTATAATTTTCCTGCACACATTATTTTAACATGTATGCGGTTTATGATGTAGTAAAAAAATTTAAAGTAGCTCAAGGAAATGGTGGAGAAACAAAAAATTTGTAAAATCACACAGACATAGTTTTAGCACCACAAGTTTGTCAAAAGTAGCAAATTTGCAGAAAATTGCATGCTCCAGCAACATTACAGTGCAAATAAGCAGGAAGTATGAACATTTATCCAGTAATTTTCTCTTTAACAGTTTCTGAAGTACTAAAAACTATGTAAAATTCATTCAATTATAAACACAGTGAAAATTTAAAAAACTGTAGTATAAAATAGGAAGGGATTATTATTTTTTTTTTTTTTCCTTACAGAGTAGAATTCAATCCTATTAGCCTATCTCTAGCATCTTCATTATTAGCTGTAGGATAACATGTGTTGTTGAATGTACAAATGGAATTCTGTAGGAAAGGTACCATGCCAGCTGAGGGCATGGCCTTCTCATCAAAGTAGCCTAAAAATAAAAAATAAATAAATATCAAATTCATGAAATATGCAACAAGTACTAGCAAATATATCCTGATCCCATTTTGTTATGGGTTCTTTGAAACAAAAATAAATCCAGAAAAGTCTGTCACATAAAACTGATTTTAAAAAGTAAAGAGGTAAACGTAAAAAGAATATGTGCACTTATGTATTAGCACTTCCGTATTAGCACCTCATGGAAGTCATAAAAATTTTCAGAACATGCCAAACTTTATAACAATTTAGTTTTAATATGCAATACTGCCATTTTTAAATGCATTGTATTCTGGTATTCTAAGTTTCAGTGACAAACTGTGACTTTTTTTTTTTAAATTTTAAATTCAACTTTAAAATATGAGTTAAATGAATTTGCCTGCAGTAGGAGAAATTGCAGTAAAATTTCTACAGGTATACAGCTTATTACAAAAGGAACAACTGTTTGAAATTTATTCTTAAAATGATAACCACCAAATTTTCAGAAAAAAGAAAGTTTATAGCTTTTGCAAATATGCTAAACTTTTAACTACAGGTTTTTTTTTTTTTTTTTTTTTTTTTTTTTTTTTTTTTTTCCGTAAAGTTCATGATGTTTTATTCCAAAAATTATTCTAAATTAATATTACTTTAAGAAAGATGTTACTCAAATTAAATCAAATAAATAAGCAAAAAAAGATTATTGATTTATTTTTAGGATTAACATCTGATTGAAATGAAAAATATGAATGCAGTTATATAAATGTCTGTAATAATTATTATTTTTTCAATCATAATTCATCATTCTTTTTTTACAAAAAAAAAAAAAAACTATAACAATATGTTTGTAAATGTTTACAGAATACAGGTGAAAGTTAGAATACAGTTAGCAACTTAGTTTGAATTTAAAACTCTCAATCTATGTCATTTAAATACATTCCGCTACTATTTGATTTTTAGTATACTGATTCCTAATGCCCGATAAATGGCCCTGGAAATTCTGACCATTCCATAGTGGGAACTCAACCTTATCTGCTGCGAAGCATCTATGAGGAAGTTAAATAAGCACAAAGTGCTTTGGTCCATGGAACAAAAGATTATCATAAGGTAATGGATAAGCGAACTTCAAACACCCATATTTTTATGAAGTTTAACAGAACAGCACTGCTGCATAAAGATAGATGAAACCTGCCACTTCACCGTAATATAAAAATTTAGATTACCACCTCATATTGAACGTCTCAGTTTTAGGAAAGATATGCAATTGCCCAAACATCTTCTTCGAAGAAAAGATAAATTCTCTTGGAAACAGTCGCTTTCGGAACGTTGGAAAGGTGTACTGCAGTGGAAGATAATTATTTCAAATAATGGCATGCTTCAAAAGTATGTAACCATTATGACTTCTCTTAATCATTCCATTTGCATGGATCACATCTGTACATAACTTGTCTCTATATCTATATAACAGTCAACTATTGATTTACAAAATACAGCACCGTTGGGAATTTGTGTCTATCTTTGTGGTCATTTGACTGTATTTTGGTTTATATTTATGTTTATAACGTTGCGCGCCTCTAACTAGCACGCAACCAAGAGGTGACTGTGAAAGCTTGTATAAACCACAGAGTCTTATAAAGGGTTTAAGTCCGTTTTTATTCAATGTACTAATTTACAATTGCGTCCTCTTGACGCTTACAAACTTTGCCAACTAGGCAGTCAAAATAAAATAATAACCTGAAAAGAAAATAAAGACAAGATTCTAACTACGAGGCTTTCTAAAATAACTAACTCACCGCGTTTTACAAATACCGCAGCTAATTCAGCAGACTTGAAGCTCACTGGAACAATTGCAACTACTTCCCGCCAAGCACATAGGCCGCAACGCGGGGTTCTTTAATTCTAGATTTCTACCTCAGCGCTCGTGAAGTAAGAATAACTCTCTCTCACCGAACTTGTTTCCTTCTATTTAAATCATACTACTTCCGCTGATAATTTGAATGCTTGCGCGTTCTACTCAAATTTACATATTCTGGCATTGGCAGTTCCAGGGGAAAGGGGAAAGTAAGGCTTGACAGGAAAGATAGTTTAAACTTAAAATAAATGTTAGTTAAAATAAATATAAACCCTACATTTGCCGCTGCCAGAATTTGGAAAACTTGGAAGCAGGTCCTACAAACGACCTGTTGTAAGTTTATCTAATTCTGAACTAACTGGCGAAAGCCTCGTTTACACAAAAAAAATCTTATGTAACAATTAAAATTCTGTTAGTCGTTACAAAGCTTTCTTCTTACAGCAACTTTTCCTGGACTTCATCAATCAATCTTGGTCTTTCCTTCCAGCATCTGGAAGGAATAAGTATCAGTATCTTTCTACATACATTATAATTTACACTTTGACACAATAAATTTTTGTTTTTAACGTTTTCGTTTTTTCTTAGTTATTGCTTACTTCACATTCATTCAATTTTTCAAGCATTAATTTAACTTTACCCTGGCTCTCCACCGTGTGTGGTGTCAAACGGGAATATTCGTGTTTTAGTCTTACAACACTTCCCTAACCACCATGATTTGTTAGAATTCAACAACCAAATAGACACACCTTACTCGACATTCTACAACTCAATGAGCTACTTTAATAGTCATAAAAATTCAAATGTAGGTGGAGAACCCTACAAAACACATTCATTCTAGCTTCCCCCTCATTCATCTTTAAACATGCAGGCTTTCGCTCTAAAGCATGACTTTACAGTTTAATACTTAAATTTTGACTTCATTGCTTTTAAGCATTCACTTTTAGCATCTACAATTTTATGCTTCTAGACTAAATTCTACTTTTACATAACATGCAAGTATTTACATAAATTTACAAAAGTTTAATACATATGCTTTTTACAATTTACCATAAAATGCATAAGAGAAAATAAATTTTTACTTTACTCATTCTTCGCCAAGCTGGCGGTACTGAAACTAAAATTCTTATTAGTACAAGAATACGAAGTTATTTTTATCTACAGCCAAATTTTGGCTTTAACATAACAGAATTAGTCTTTCGACCAACAGAAAATGCCCGTTTTTAGCTTTTACACTTAAAGAAAATAATACTTTTGCCTTAGCTAAATAAAGTAAAACAAAACTACGTCTCAACCGAGACATATTGACTTTCGCCAAAACATAGAACTTCGTACTTATGCATAACATTTCGGAACAAAAGAGAAAAAAAATTATAGAAGGTTTTAACTTATCTTTGAGTTTTCGATGCTTGAAACTCCGTCATCCGTTTTTGACAAAATTGATCCCAAGTTAGAGGTGTCATGGATGTCAATCTTCTCCTTGTTGATCTCCGCGTGTCGTCCCCGTTGATCTTTCTTTTGCGTCCTCTACATGCTGGCCTCTTGACGGAGTAATCGTCTGGTTGTTGGCCTTTGCGTTTCTGCCTGGGACGGCTGGTCTTGACGTCCTCCGGTCTGGAGTCCTTGAATTTCTTCTGTTCCTCGTACTTCTGTGCCTCCTGTTGGCGTTTCAGTTTCCGGAACGGCGGCCTTGCTGGCACCTGACTATGTGGCCGCGTGCGCGTTCTCCTTGATGTGTAATTTCTCCTGCCATCTTTTGTAGGTGGTGTTTTCGTCTTTACCATGGTTTCTTTACCCGGTTCATCTGTATTTTTGTTTTTCTTAAACGCCGGAGTTTGAAAATCCTTTTTTCTCTTTGATACCGACGTCCGGGTTGTAGAAGTGCTAGGTCTCTCTGCAGTTCTCCGTTTCTTGGGTGGTGGAATAGTTGTTGCAGTCTCTGGCCCTTCTATTTCGGACTTGAGTCCTGCAAGAAACTTTTAAGGATTTCAAAATCATTGGGATTATAGTATTTTTTCACCTGGTCGGGACTTGCTTTACAGATTTCCCCTCTCTCGTTTTTAAGATATAAGACTACTCCTTTGATTTCCTGAATTACATAGGGGCCTTCAAACTTTGGAGCTAGCTTTGCCATAAAAATTGTCTGGGGCACTTGACAAAGAAAATTTCCGTTTCAATACTTTATCCCCAACTTTAAAATCTGCTTCACGGCGTTTCTATCATCAAATATAACTTTTGTCTATTTCTTGCCGTATCCGAAGTTTTAAGCGCCTGATCAATTAGTTTTTGCACGTCCTTTTGTCTAAATTCCTGCTCTCTTTGTTGCAACAAAGAATAATTTATCTAAAGGCGTAATTAACTTTCTGCCTAAAAATAATTCTGCTGGAGTTTTTCCCGTAGTATCATGATGTGCCGTTCTTAAAGCATAAGCTAATTCATTTATGTAGCCATCCCAGCGCTTGTGATGTGTGCTAACGTAACTGCGAATTATTTTTACAATGTTTTTATTAACTCTTTCTGCTATGTTAGCCTGTGGTCTATACGGAACCATTTTGATATGGCGTATATCAAGTCCATTGCATATGTTTTCAAATATTTGACTAATGAATTGTTTTCCGTTATCGCTAATGACTTTTATCGGTGCACCGTATTTTAAAATGTATCTGTGTAAGAATGCATCTGCGACTGTTTTGGCTGACGCGCGTTTAAGTGGAACAATTTCTATCCATTTTGAAAAATGATCTACTATTACTAAAAGAAAACGATTTTTTATTTAACTCGCTCTGGGGGAAGGGACCAAGGAGATCTATGCCTAAAATTTCATTCGGAAATGTAGCGCGAATGCTATTTAAGTACCCGGCCGGGCTGTAATTAATATCATTTATTAACTGACATTGATTGCAGGACCTGACATACGCCGTTACTATTTTGTATAATTGCGGGAAATATACCGCCTCGCGTACCCTTTTTAAAGTCTTTCTGACCCCGAGGTGGCCCGCTGTTTTTTTTTCGTGCAACTCCTTCAAAATGCTTAATCGAAGCGAGGCTGGATGACTGGCTTATACTCAAGATTTTCGTTCGTTGTTTTCGTATAGAATAATAAATTATCTATTATTTCATAGTTTTTTGCTCTATTTCTTATCGCATCGATATCTGTGTGCTCAAAGCTT